CAAAGTACTTAATCAACACTCTAATATCAAAGGCTATAATTTGGTTAAGATGCCAAAAAAGGAAGATAGAACTTTTTGCAATGCTCGGAATAAATTTGTACAGAACTTTAAATCAGTAAAAAAAAAGAAACATTGCTTCAAAATACAAAAAATTTGTTTGGTGTTCATCCCAATAAATACCAGATAATCATTGAACAACAATATACATATCACCTATATCAATAAGTGTATCAAGAACTTTTAAACTTGCTAGCTATATGAAGTTATCTTTTTTTACTAAATAATAAAGGAATGAATGTGCAACTTTTTTTAACAGGAAAAGACATGATATATTTTAGACATGCATTTGAAAGTTTCCTCTAACAGTTTAGGCAATGTGCCAAATTTACTAACACCTTCCTCAATTGCCAGTTTTATAATCTGATACATAGGGGAAAAACAAAATCAATTAGAAAGAATGGACAACATAGGTAATCTAACTTGATTCAAACTAGCTGTGAGAAGAAAATGTTAAATTATAGGTAACACTTACAACCACTTACTTCCAATCAGCGAATGTATCATTGACTTCAATGCAGAAATTTCAGGTACTTGAAATGAAAAAAAAAAGAGTGCACACACTAAAATGTCTTGCCTGCTTCACTGATTATAATTGAATTTTGTATTGAAAGTCTTTCAGTTGAGGTTTTTACAAAAGGTATCACATAAACTTAAAATTAACAATAATTCGTGCTTATAGCATCTGAGAAACATACCTAATCATCAAAACTTAATATTAATATGAACTATGAAGATAAGGTAATAGTCCAATGTACCCTTTCAGATGATTATGCACATCTTACAACTATTCCATACACCAAACACATGTAAAGTGACACTTTCGCTTATAGTATCTAAGATACCAACCTAATCATAAATAAATGGGGAATGTGTCCATGGGACACAGATGATGCCCCCGCTTGTCTATCATATAAAGTTATAAAGGGACATAACTGAAAAACGGTAATAGTGACACTACCCAAATTTGTACTTGATATGAGTATTGTGGTAATAACAATTGTGTATATAAGTCTCATAACATTTGGTTGAGGCAAACTTAAGTTAGAGAATGGAAACAAAAAATTCAGCATTTTTTTCATTTGTAAAGGGGCATAACTCTAGAACAATAAGAGTGACAACCCAAAAAAACAAACTTGATCTGTATTTTGTAGTAATAAGCATTGTGGATAAGTTTCAAAACATTTGGTTGAGGCTAACTTAAGTTAGAGAACGGAAACAAAAAATTCAGCAATTTTTTACATTTGTAAAGGGGCATAACTGTAGAACGGTTAAAGTGACATCACCAAAATTCCGACCTGATCTGCATTTTGTGGTAATAAGCATTGTGTATAAGTTTCATAGCATTTGGTAGAGACAAACTTAAGTAATAGAACGGAAACGAAAAATTCTGCAATTTTTCCGTTTGTGAAGGGGCATAACTCTATAACAATAAAAGTGACACCCCAAAATTCCAAACTTGATCTGTATTTTGTGTTAATAAGTATTGTGTATAAGTTTCATAACATTTGGTTGAGGCTAACTTAAGTTAGAGAACAGAAACAAATAAAATGCTCCGCAGGGCGCAGCTTGATACGACCGCAGAGGTCGAACCCTGAACAGTTGGGGGAAGTATGGACACAACATTCAAGCTTGATACAGCTTTGGATTTGGATTGTGATTAAATATTTGACACAGCATAGGTTTCTAACAGAGATTGAATGTGGTCTAAGAACTTAAAAATTTTAAATTGGACATTCACCTATTATGGTCCAATATCCAAAATCTAAATACATGGTTAGATTCAGCATATCAAAGAACCCCAAGAATTCAATTTTTGATGAAATCAAACAAAGTTTAATTTTGGACCCTTTTGACCTCAATGTGGACAAAGTTGATAACGGGGCCCAAAAATCAAAAATCTAAATACATGGTTAGATTCAGCATATCAAAGAACCCCATATATTCAATTTTTGTTGAAATCAAACAAAGTTTAATTTTGGACCCCGATTTGGACCAACTTGAAAACTGGGCCCATAATAAAAAATCTAAATACATGTTTAGATTCAGCATATCAAAGAACCCTAAGATTTCAATTTTTGTTAAAATCAAACTAAGTTTAATTTTGGACCCTTTGGACCTTAATGTAGACCAATTTGAAAACGGAACCAAAAATTAAGAATCTAAATACACGGTTAGATTCGGCATATCAAAGAACCCCAATAATTCAATTTTTGATGAAATCAAACAAAGTTTAATTTTGGACCCTTTTGACCTCAATGTGGACAAAGTTGATAACGGGGCCCAAAAATCAAAAATCTAAATACATGGTTAGATTCAGCATATCAAAGAACCCCATATATTCAATTTTTGTTGAAATCAAACAAAGTTTAATTTTGGACCCCGATTTGGACCAACTTGAAAACTGGGCCCATAATCAAAAATCTAAATACATGTTTAGATTCAGCATATCAAAGAACCCTAAGAATTCAATTTTTGTTAAAATCAAACTAAGTTTAATTTTGGACCCTTTGGACCTTAATGTAGGCCAATTTGAAAACAGAACCAAAATTTAAGAATCTAAATACACAGTTAGATTCGGCATATCAAAGAACCCCAATAATTCAATTTTTGATGAAATCAAACAAAGTTTAATTTTGGACCCTTTGGACCTCAATGTGGACCAATTTAAAAACGGGGCCCAAAATCCAAAAACTAAATACACGGTTAGATTCAGCATATTAAAGAACCCCATGAAATCAAGAATAAAACCCCATTGAAATTGGTCAAGAAATAAGCAATTTATAGGAAGTATCTTCTTTTGCACAATCCTGTGCTATTAAATATTTCTTGCTATTGCGCAATACTGTACAATTGACAATTTCTTGCTATTGCGCAATATTGTGCTATTGGATATTTCTTGCTATTGCGCAATACTGTGCAATTGAAGATTTCTTGCTATTGCGCAATACTGTGCAATTGAAGATTTCTTGCTATTGTGCAATACTGTGCAATTGAAAATTTCTTGCTATTGCACAATACTTATTATATAATAATTTACACATCCTGTTTGGTGTGTATCTCCTACCATATCATTATTATTTGATTTTAAATATAAATCAGAAATAACCAACTTAAAATGGAAAATTTTAAAAGAAACAAAAAAGGAAAAAAAGAAAAAAAAGGAAAAAAAAATAAATCCCCCCCCGAAATTTTTTGAACCCCCATTATGATTCATCACCCCCAAACTCAATCCCAGCCTTCCCTTTGTGGTATGGTACCTTGCAGTACAATTTCAGAGAGATCCATACACTTGAACACAAGTTATTGTCTGGAAACTAGAAAAAAATGTGTTTTTTGGCCCCTTTTTGGCCCCAAATTCCTAAACGTTTAGGGCAATTACCCCCAAACTCAAACCCAGCTTTCCCTTTGTGATATGGAACCTTGTAGTACAATTTCAGAAAGATCCATACACTTACACACAAGTTATTGTCATGAAACTAGAAAAATGCTTGTTTTTTGCCCCTTTTTTGGCCCCTAATTCCTAAAATTTGGAGGCAATTACCCCCAAAATCAATCCCAGCATTCCTTTAGTGATATGGAACCTTGTGGTACAATGTCAGAGAGATCCATACACTAACACACAAGTTATGTCTGGAAGTTACAAAAATGCTTATTTTTGGCCCCTTTTTGGCCCCTAATTCCTTTACTGTTATTACCATAACCCCCAAAATCAATCCCAACCTTCCTTTTGTGGTATTGAACCTTGTGGTAAAATTTCATAAAGATCCATTCACTTAAACTAAAATTAGAGTGCGAAAATCAATGTGTCTTCGGACGACGCCGGACGACGACGACGACGACGACGACGACGACGACGCCGGACGACGACGACGACGACGACGACGACGACGACGCCGGACGACGACGACGACGACGCCAACGTCATACCAATATACGACCACAAAAATTTTTTTGAGGTCGTATAAAAATTCAGCAATTTTTTCATTTGTAAAGGGGCATAACTGTAGAACAGTTAAATTGACACCACCAAAATTGATCTGTATTTTGTGGTAATAAGCTTTGTGTATAAGTTTCATAGCATTTGGTAGAGGCAAACTTAAGTTAGACAACAGAAACGAAAAATTCAGCAATTTTTCCATTTGTAAAGGGGCATAACTCTAGAACGGTTAAAGTGACGCCACCAAAATTCCAACTTGATCTGTATTTTGTGGTAATAAGCATTGTGTATAAGTTTCATAACATTTGGTTGAGGCAATCTAAGGTTAGAGAATGGAAACCAACTTTTGGACGTACGGACAGACGGACAAGGGTAAAACATAATGCCCCCTCCGCTTCAGTGGGGGCATAAAAATTTCCCATTGGCCAATAAACCATGAAACTAAGAATAAGGTAAGATAAACCCTATCAAACAGACATGAACACCTTACTATCATAATCATCTAATACGCCAAATATAGTTAGCCTATTACTTGTTATATACGAGAAAGGACAGAACCAAGAAAACTGGAAGGTTGATCACTGGTCCATGAAATGAGGTCAAGGTCGTATGAACCCTGTCTGACATATATGTATTCCTTGCAATGATTCTATGAGCCAAATTTAGTTTTACTTTTACTCCTTATAAGTTAAAAAAACATGTGATATACAATGTAAATCTATAGACTTTTAAGCAGCTACTGAACAATGAAAATGAGATCAAGGACAACAAATATATACATGTTGGAAGTTCCAGAACATAAGGCATCTGTATACAAGATATGAAATCTTCAAGTCTTCTACCTTCTGAACAACCCCTTCAAGGGAAGAAAAATTAAAAACAGGGCACTTGGAAATATGGATAAAGTTATTGGACATCCTTCATGTTTTTGCAGCATGTACTTATGAAAATAAAATTTGCAAAGTATCTACCATGCCATATGCAGAAAAAAGTTAATACATGCAATTGTTGAAGTATTTATTTTTTTTTTATGAATTACAGTTACTGCTTTATATATAATTCATTTTAATTTAACTATGATGGTTACTTCAGATATTGTTATATTCATTACAAAAAAAATCTTTGACTAAATAATCCTCATTAATAACTTTGCTTTTCTTTAATTTTTTAGTTTTCATCTATAACTCAAGCTGATGACTCTAAAATAAATGACATTGCAATTCAATACAATTTTGTGTAAACCTGAGGTCATTTTACATTCATAAAAATGCATAATAAATAAAAATACCTCATTAAAGATGTTGCATAGATATCCAGTAAAATAATCAGTTTAAAAACTTGATTGCTTGAAGCTTTGGCTCTATATATATATATATATATTCCATTCTTTTAAATATAAATTAAAATATATCACATATAAATAACACTAAAAAAGTTTTGTATCTATTTAAAAACACATTAAACAAAGAATAACTAATTTCTAAGACAGGGTTAAGGTTTTGGGCCACATGGGTGCCTGGCCTGCGTTCAGTGTAAAAATGTTAACTGAGAAAAAAATCAAGTCTATTTATCAGTAAAATACGGAAACAAAATATCAAAAATCAAAATGTTGCTTTGGATGACACCTCTGCCTCTGGATTATAAAGAAGCTTCTAACAAAGTTTCGTAAAATCACAATTAAGTTTAGCAAAATGATTTAAGTTTTAAAATCTTTAACCACAAACTGTATCTAAATGTTAACTGCAAAAAAAATAAAGTCCATTTATTAGTAAATACTGGAAATATGGGAGGAAAATCTAAATTTTTATCTAGATGGTATCTCTTGATTAGGAAGAAGCTTCTGTAAAAGTTTCCTGAAATTCCATGATTGTTTAAAAAAGGTTATTGATGTTTAAAGACTTTGAACCTAGATTGCATCTAAAACGGTACCACAGATTGAACTTTAACATTGACAATGCAAACAGAATCTAAGGATCCCTTTGTCTTAACTTTGCCACTGTCATTGCAGGCAGCACAAAAGTCATAAAAATTAAACCACAGGATCACCTTTCTGTTTGGTATCCCCTTAAATCACAGATAACTGAAGCTTCTACAATGCCAAACTGACATCAGTGACTGATTACTGAAGTGTTTGAAAAATGGTGGGTCCAATATATTAATTACTTTTTAGTTACAATGTAAGATAACATAAATTGACAAAATAAAATGTACTTCATATGGTTTTTGCCATGGTATTGTCAAGTTCGTTTTCAATTATGAGTTTGAATATCCCTTTGGTATCCTCCACCCCTCTTTTACAACCATTATTACATTTCAGAAGAAACTCATGGTATTTTACAATACCAAATTCAATCAAAAAGTATATTATCATCAAAGTCTATTCTCTACATAATTGTTGATATGAAATATTCTAATCCTGGTTTTAAATTATTATAAAGACATGTGAAACTACAAAAATTCATCTAAGTGTCAATGATAAATGTAATAAATGTTTATTAGAAATATTGGTATATATCATTACACAACAATGAATACTGCCATTTTTTTTCTAACAGAGGTAATCTAATAAATGTAGCAATACATGGAGATTTGGGGTATATGTGTCAATGAGATATATGTTTTTTAATGATTAAATATATCATATGAATAGGAGCTGTGGTAAATGCACCTGCCAAAAAACGAAACCCAGCATACCAAGACACATTTGGAGGTCACATAGTTTTTAACACATTAGACAAGTGACAAATGTCCTGCATCAAACATACTGGTAATATTATATATAATACATTAATTTGCATTTTCAACAATATTTCATTAAATAGGTTGGACGGATTGATTATATCAGAACTTATTTTATAACCTGGACTACTATATCATTCTACAGACTTCAATTTAGACATATTTTTAAATATTTGTTGACATGTGACTTTATTTTTCACAATTCAGATTAAAGAAGACAGTGCATGTCACACACACCCTCCTGATTCTTTCCACATATAAATTTAAGTAACTCCAAAACAGCATCTGAAGATATTGTTAGATGAAAGTAAAATAGAAATTGTGCAAGACACACTAAAAACTGTCAACAGTTTAACAAATAAAGTCGGATAACCCTAAACGGAAAAAAAAACCAAAGCAAAAGGGAGCTAAACCAAAAGTTATTGAACTTATCATATAAAATATTTGTAAAAATTTTATACAGTAAACCTGAGAGGTGCTACAAAATTTTAAATTGTTATCTATTAAAGTCTCATAACAACTGATCTTAAAATATTCAAAACCAAAATAAAACTTGTCTACATAGAACAAAACATCACATCAAAATTTCTGCAAGATCTTCTGAAACAAACCTGAATTATCAGAAGACTTGTAAATTTTGAAGATTAACTTTTCTTAAAGGTATCAGAACCAAACATTCTGTAATGTTTTTATCTCAATTTTGGTTTGAAGTGAATTTGAGTTACATAATGTATCTCAAGATGTACTTTGACAGACAGACAGGTCACAAAAATAATTTGATGATGGAAGGACAGACAGACAACCGTTTGTCATCATATAATATATCAGTGTTTGACAGTTTATAAAAATAATAACAGCTCATCATACAATTGTGCATTGCATTTGGTATAACTAAACTGCCTTAAATCTATGTTAGTAAAAAAATTATACCAATTCCCCTCAAAAAACCAAACCCTGAAAAAATTATTGATATAACTTATTGCACTTTCTTTGCATGTAAACAAGCATAAGCCTCATCAATGTCATCTGTCAAACTATCGAAATCTACAGTTTTATTTCTATTTGTCTGGTTATTTTGGAGATCGTTGTTGTGAGATAAAGCACTATTGGTGTCGGAGATATTAGCATGCATATTTTTTCCTGAATTGTCTCCCTTTGTTTCCATGCTAGTTTCCTGTTTACTTTGTTCTGTCTTAGTTTTGGACTCTGTTTTTCTGTCTTTGTCTGAATTATTTGTTTTGTATGCATTATAGGGTAGAGGGTATAATCCATCGTCTTTTGTAGGACTTCCATTTAAAACAAATTTCTGAAATGCATTCAAATTAATTTGGCACTCCTTGTAGTCATTGTCATTGTCTGTCTCTGGAAATTTCTGTCTTAATTTTTCTCTTGCCTGAAATAAAATGAAAAAACAAATAGAAAATTACAATGCAAACAGATGATCTTCAAAAGTCACACTGCTACAAAAGTAAAAACAAAGTTCATATAACTTTTGGTCATAGTAAAGTGATGTTACCATCTTACTTTTTGTCATTTAAGATTTTGTACAAAGGGAAGACACATTCAAAGAACCAATGTAAATTACTTTTGCATTTTTTTATAGACAGCTGAGTAATCTCTAATAGAATAGTTCAGGCAAGTTTCTGTCAGACATTTTACTGCATTGAGAATATTTTAATCAGAAACATAATTTTTCCATGAACCCAAACCTCAAATCATACTAGAGATGCCCAATATTTTACTAAGTTTTCAATTTTAACTTTTCTTTTTAAAAGAACTTAGTTTTAAACTAAAAGTGTTACAATTTTTTTTTACAACATATGGGCAAAGAGACAAAACTCTCGCAATTATCCTTCACACCAAATTTCAAAGAAAAAGTTCAAAGAAATTGTGTCCAGAGTTCTAATATAATTGGCCATAGTTTCAATGCAACTGTAATTCAATTGAATTAATGTAAATAAAAATAAATTATTTCTTGGTTTGCTCTGTTTAAGATTAGCTTTTCTGGTTGATAGTCATGACCAGGGCCTAATCTAGGATTTTGGAGAGGGAGAAGTGACTTCTCCTTCCATTAGAGAGAAGGGAGAAGTGGTCAATTTCTTGGAGAAGTGAGATTCCATTACCGTTTCGGTTGCATAGTGTTCTCGTGCTTATCACTAAGGAAATTGTTTTATATGCAATAAAAAATACACTTGCAGTTTTTTCATGTTATTGTACAAAATGTATATATAGAAAGTTCTTAATAAAAAGGTTTAGACAATATAGTTGCTATTTATTCATTGATACCATTTGTACTGTCAACTTGAATTTAAGTTTGAATAAAATTTGTTGCTTGGGACATGAGGGAGTAGCCTAGTAATATTATGATGCATTAAATTCATGTGCATCTGCCTCAATTTATTTTTAAATGTCCAGAAAAATATGACTCCCAGTTTACCTGATGAATTTCACATGACTGGGAAATTAATTTATATCACCACTTGTCATTATTTTGTAAAACATTATTGAATGTCCAGGACATCATGTTACATGTAGTTGTAAATTGAGATTCTCATTAAAGATTGTAAGCCTATAAATGAAAATATCTGTCAATCAAATATTAATTAACCGATAAAGAGCTAATTTCTATCATTTTTTAAAGACATCTTCCCTATCAACGAAATGGTCGTGAAAAAAAAATCCACTGCTGATCACAGCTGGTCGAGTGTCGTACGTTTGCAATCACATTATCCATCAGCTGTCTTTCTACCTTTTATATTTCAATTTTTATTCAATGGATATAATAAATCTACCGTTAATTCCCACCCTTAACCTACCGAATAGTACAATTTGATCGACTCGTAATAAATAAAAATAAAACAAATCAGCTGAGTGATTACGCAACATCCTCAGATAAAAATCATTGTAAAATGATAACTTTAACAGATGGTCAGTTTTCCGTTTGAATAGTTTTGAATGTTATATCCGAGGATGTTCAAAGTCGCCGTTGTATTTATTTAATTTGATCGTCGACAGCATTAGTCCTGGGTCGTTTCGAAAACTCTCGATTTTCCTTGTTAGTCGCCATTTTTTTTTACCTGGGAGACTTGTTATTCACAAGTTGTCTCCCTTTTACCAATTTTCATAGCGATTTGACTTCGCCATGAAGTTCGTCGGCTGGCGAGATTTAGCAATTTTCTAAATTCTTTGCAGACTTAAATCATCATTTCGCGGGCAAGATTATGGCCTGGTCATGACACAAATACATATTATAATCCAAATTTTTTTCAGATATTTTAAATTATGTAATTTATAAAAATAACTAAATCACAATTATATAACTATGATAGACATAGGGTCAAAGTCTTAAAAAAAACTATTTTTCACTCATAATTTGTTTAATCTTTTCACTGTAAATAGTTTGTAAGTATAATAATTAATCTTTTTAAAATTAAGTACTGATGAGAAGAGAATGGTGCTTTTCAAATAAAGGAGTAGACCCAGTAAGACCCCTTTTTCGCCCCGAAATACGGTATTTTTACAAACTTGTTGAAAATGTTAAAAATTATTTATTTATAAGTAGAATACCTTTGTTACATAAATATGGGCTGTTTTTTGACAATACAATGCACATGCATCAGGTACTAACATCATTAATTCATGCAAAATTACTTAAATCTTAGCATTTGAGCAAACTTTTAGACGTTTTTTGTCTAAAATGGAAGTGGCCACTCTTGTGTTCAGTCCTAATATTTCAATATGTGTTGTATTTGATGATAATACATAACATATATGAAGGTTGAGACTGAACACGAATGCTGCCACTTACATTTAAGACAAAAACCATCTGAAAAGTGACGTTTTATGGCATATTTGATAGATTTTTCATATTTAAGCTTGAATTTGAGCATCTGTAATGACCAAATCAGTTCAAATCTTTTACATAAACTAATCTAATCGACTGAAGTAGACACTTAAAATGTCAAAAATCTTTCCTCAGATGTACTTCAAATTTTAGGCCAAAATTAGCTCTTACCCCAATTAGAGCTGGATTTTTTTTTCCAATATTATGGACAATGTGTACTCATCACCACAAAATTTTATTACAAGAAACAGATAGGAATATTTTTGTTTAGCTTTTTATTAAATTTTGGTATAGATAACAGTTGTGATATGCTGGTATACAAACTTAAATATTAAGAAAAAATTTATGTAAAACTTAGTAATGCCCCCTCCTCTAGAAAAAAGGCCTGTACAAAAAATTAAATTATTCAGCTAATATCATTCACCCCCTGTTTTTGGTAGGGTTCGTATCGCTTAGTCTTTAGTTTTCTATGTTGTATGTTGTATACTGTTGTTTGTCTTTTGGTTTGTTTTTTTTTTTGCCATGGCGTTGTGAGTTTATTTTTGACTTAAGAATTTGAATGTCTCTTTGCTACCTTTCACCTCACTTTTTCTCATTCTTGAAAGAGTAAAAAAATCTAAGTTAAGGTGGTACCAAACACCTTGACTAAAATTAATTTCGCTCCATTAATTTTCATAAAATTTTGACAAAATATTGACTTTGACCCTTTGACAAAAATATAAAAATTTCAAAAACTTGAACCACACACTTTATCTGAAAAATTTCATTGGATATATTGCAGTTTGACAAACACTAATTTTGATCATTGAGAAGCTCAATATTTCCTTAACAATAGAACATGATTAAAACGTTCAGCTGATTTTTACAGTTATCTCCCTGTAGTGTTATGTTACCATAACTTAGTCATTACCTCTTGTAAGTTTTCGTTCTGATATCTCTGCAGTTGTTTTTGAAAACCAAAGTTAGGATTGGCACCATTGCGTACACCTCGTATACTATTTAAAGCTTCTCTCCATCCAAGTGGTGTAACTGTCATGATGTATGCAGCAGTAATAGTAACACTTCTAGATACGCCAGCAAGACTAAAAATCATAAAATATTGAAATATTACTTATCATACATTTTTTTAGCATCTTTGGTTTAAATTGTATTAATCATCATCCTTTCAAATAATTCCATTAATTTTTCTATGCAGATGAGAGTCACCACACCCTTTAACCTTGTATCATTTACAAGAATGGATGGCAAGCAAAAGATTGGCATAGCTAAGTTACAGTGCATTGTAAAAATGATAAAAAAAAAAAGTAATCAACTTGCAATATCAAAATCCAAGAACCTTTCAATTTTCCCAAATATACTTTGGCACCAATTTGAAAAAGATGCCTGACAGATAAAAATTCCATTATTTTTAAATTTTTACCCAAAACAAGTTTTTAAAGGAAATTTACACATTGAATCAATTTGGAATAGTATATTGTATCTATATATATAAATTTACATTGAAATCCTAGCACAGAAAGAAGTTTCACAAAATCTATGATAAAATTTGTGATTTTTAAACAAAAGCCAATTTTTTCCCAAATTGAAAAAGCCAATTTCACAAAAATAATATAAGCACATCTACATATTATGCACAACAGCTGTGCAAAATTTCATTGATCTCCAACCTATACTGTTACAAAGTAAAAACTATAGTGCTCCCACATCCTTGATGAGGGGCCCTAATTAAAGCTTTCAAAAGTTATTTAATGAATAAAAAAATGATTAATATTTAGCTGTTAAATCTAGTAAGATTTTGATAAGCACAATGTGTCTTTTATATTATGAAACTGTGAAAAACTATCAAATCAAATCAATTCAAAGATATTTCATTTATCTCCCATAGCAATAGCAAAAAAATAAAAACATCTAAACAATAACAATGATTACAGTTTTTTTAAATTTCTGATACATCCTGGTAATGAAGGAAAAATTACACATCTCACAGTTTTAAAACTTGCATTTTCAAGTGCACCCCCACCCATATTAAAATATGGACTAAATCTCAAGTTATCAATCTAAAATTCATAATACATTATTGCTCATTTCATTATATTGGTCAAATGCCCTGGTCAGTCAGGGGTACTTCTTGTTGTAAGTTTTTTTTATTTACTTGAAGAAGTAAATATTAATATACTTATATAAGTAAATATTAATATACTTATATAAGTAAATTTGTAAGATACTTATACAAGTGTATTTTATTTACTTGTACATATATAGGTAAATTATTTTAATGGCTTAGTTATGTGCCTTAGACATTCAGATTTATTTACCTATATATATAGTTATACAAGTAAAAAAGTCGTACTATCTTCTTTTCTTGAATTTCTCAGGACTTCTTTGCTCTAATAGAATTTTTAATGGTCTGTCCTTTGCAGATGTCTTTACAAATCATGTAAGTGTAATTTCATGGACAATGAAAATCTCACTTACAAGCCTCCAAGGGGCAATTTTTGAAGGCCTTGCGCAATATCTTAAGATCTTTGTGCAATTAGTTTCTTTGTTGAATTAATGAGATGAAACGCTGAACTCTATTAAAAAATTATCAGCTAACCAGAGAAAAATTGTTTAAGACATGCTTTTACATCCGAAAACTTGGAGAATTTTAGGGATTGTAAAAAAAAATTCTTATACAAGTAAATTTTTTGAAAAAATTAAGGGGAGATTACTCAAACCTTATAAGAAAATATGAACATAACAAATTTATTTATATAAGTATATTATTATTTACTTCATCTAGTAAATAAAAATAACTTGTACAAGTAGTACATGTACCACTGACTGATGGTGGAAAAAATTCTGATCTTTCAGCCATAATGAAAATTTGATACATAAAAATCATTACCAATGAACTAATACACTGCCATTGTTGAGACGAGCGTTGTGTATAAACTCAATGCATTCTGGGAAAAACTGCATTAGCTCTTGTTGTGAATTATCACTGGCCACAATACACAGGTATTCCTTATCCTGTAAAATATAAATGAGTATTAAATATGCTTTTCAAAACATGTATACCAATCAGCATGTCCAGTGCAGGTTGCTGGCAGACCAGACTAGGGGAGGTGGTAACCTTTTCTCCCTATTCCTAGCAATAATACATATTTGTCACAGCTTTAAAATGAAACCTATTTAGCTATCATATTGACAGATATAATACTGTAATTTTAGAAAATTAAAAACTTGTAAAACAATTTCAACTAATTACAGCGATTCCAAATTCAGAGCCTTGTCCCTCTGAAAAAACAAGCTGAAAACTTTTTTTTTGTTGTTGTGATTTTTCACTTCCTCCCACATCTTATCACAAAATCACAAATATGGCCATGAAATTAAAAACTGTATTGTTGCCTTTAAATTTTTAAAAAGAGCATGTTTTTCTGTTGACATGTAAGACGAGGTATTATTGTTTTTATCCCTGTGTTTGGAGTTAATAGGAAATCATTGTAAACAGAAGACATACATGTATTAAAATTTACTATGATACCAACATGAGAATATAAAATATGTTATTTTGTCAACAGTTATCTCCCCTAAAACTGTACTGTTTTCCAAAAACTATGTTCATAAGAGGAATTAAATATTTTTTTTACAGATTTTATTTCATCATATTATAAAATTTCCCCTTGCTACACGTCACTTATAAACCCTTGCGATTGTTAGTTTAAACATATTTTATTGTTCAAAATGACAAATGGATCAGACACACGTTTAAGAACTTAGTAACATCTTCTCCAAATGGGAATTGTTGCAAAAATCTTTTACAGCAATGATTTTGCTCATTAAAAAAATAAAAGTAGAAATGGCTATATCAAAAGGAAAATACTTTGTATAATTTAAGAAATTATAATGGACGAATCCAAATTATCAATAGCAGAAAGCTGCTCAAATGTGGTAAAGAAATAATCCTATTTATTATAAGAAACATTGCTGTCTTATAGAATCTGATCTTGTGAAATTTAAAAAAAAAAAATCATGTTTTTTACGATGAGTGTACAGGTATATATACTATATTATAATATCATCTGTTATACATTGTACCTCATGTAATTTTTTAGCTTGGTCATGTATGGCTAGGATATGTGTAATATTATTGTCAGTCAGCTGCTGTCTGTCTTTAGCATCTCTGAAGTTACCAACAAACAGGCCAGGTAACACCTGAAAAAAAAACAATTTAAAAAAAAAAATTAAGGTGCTGCATTAACATCTATTCTAAATCATCTTTTATTTGAGTAGACATTTAAACTCTACAACAACTTACACTTCAGTGATAGTGTGTGAAGTGTTTTTATCAGCAAGAAAAAGTAGTAGCCTTTTAACCATAGTTACTTAAATCCACTTCATTTGGACTCCGCTGGATAGTTGTCTTGTTAGAAATCATACTACATCTCCTTATTTCATTTTAATACTAACTTTCACCCTAATTCATATTTTTTTATTTTCTGGCATTCAGCGGTAGTCAAAGGAATTTTACTGGACCTGGGCTAGATTTTTGTGTTCCTCTGCAGAATACATTTAGAGCTTGTATAGACATTTGACAATTTCTGGCATACCAAGATTATTCAGTCAGTTCATTTGTATATATAAAACTTAGTATAAATGAGTGAATCCTAAAAGTCAGGTTATTTTCATAAACTTGTTTATTTGGACTACTTTCTCATTGACAGACTGTCACATTCCAAAGAAAGTCTTATGTTTCCAATACTAGTTACAATGTACCTTATTCATACCATTCCCCATTACTTTCTTTCTTACGAAGGCAGCAAGTCTTTTATATCAATGTTAACTAAACATCATAGCTGTAAACTATCATCCTGAAAATATATGTATATAACATGTATAATGTAAAACAAGACTATCAAATTACATCAACTTATATCATTGCAGGTTTAATTCTTAATCATGTTAATAATTCTTCCACATCAATTCTAAACAGAATTTATTTTAGACAAGTACAGACCAAAATAACTGTATTATCATTATCTATTCTCTACTTCTTTTTTTGTACTTACATGTACATGTATGAAACCACGAGCACAAAAGGAAATTCTTCAGTTTTATTAACCAGTGCTATGTCAATTAATAAAACTGTTTTTAGAAAAGTTAAGTCTGATAATAGATGGTAATTAATGCAATGAATAATGGTTTCTTGTAAAGTCTGGTCCAATTTTGAATATACATTTGTACATTTTTGTACCAATTTTTTTTATCATAAAATTTATATGTTCCTTTAGCTGTTTACATATAAGCTAAGGTTTATCTGGACCTTTAAGCTAAATTTGCTGTGTTTACACCAAGAAATTTACTCTGAGTGCACAGAGGGTTGTAAACAATACAATTTACACCTTTATTAATTAGTCCATTGTTGCCAATAGTTAACCATGCTAACTAATGGAATCAGCTGATTATTGATTTTCGGTCAAAGTCGTATTGTGTGACTAGTTCAACATGTTCAAGGTGAAATCCTAGTATTATCTGATCAGGGGAAAAATCTGAGAACTTAAACTTAGAAAATAAGGTATCGGGTCCATTCGGCCTGGGTTCAATTGCCCATATACATGTATAGAGTCTGTTCGCCCTATTTAAAAAATATATATATATAGTGTATGTTGAACAGTTCACAGAATTTAGGCTTTTATATACCTATGCTGATATTTATTTGATAATATTAGAGAAAATACATATATCTTGGAATTCATGAAAAAATCATGGAAATCTTTAAAAATTAGTTGCTTGTTTTTTGAGCAATGATTCCAGGGCTTAATTGTTACATTTATTTTTATTTAGAATTTATTTTAATGACTGTTGATTATTCTGCTTATGATGTCGATTGTCTTTGGTGGTTTTATAATGAAAATAACATTTGTTCTAAATAAACTAAACAGCTTTTAATTAATGAGTAAAAAAATAAGCAGGTACCAATTGTAAGAGAATTAGTTTTTCGAATGCTTGTCCCCTTTGACCTGAAATGTGTTTTCAGTGCCAAATGTATATCATTCTTCCATGAACTATTTGCATACAGATAATTTGATAAAACATGTAAAAAGAAAAGAAAGAAGAGAAAAAACAATAATAAAAAAAAAAAACAAGATAATTTGATTTTTCGGTTATTTTACATGTATATTATTAAATGCCTTGTATTCCTGTGCACTTCAATGCAAATCAAAGGAAAATAATTATGTGATTGCAGCAATATTCGACGAAATTTTCAACACACGACACTTTATCAAATATCTAAATGATATATTATACATATTGTACTGTACCATTAAAGAACAAGACAACAAAATAATAAGAAGAATCAGGGACAACAGACCCAGTGTGAACAGGTATAAGGACGAACAGTTACTAGGGCAAACATGAATCAGGTGAACGGACCCAGATTCAGAAAATAAACAAGATAAATGAAGTCCAACCAATATATACATCTTTTATGCAAAAGTCAATCACCAACAAAGGTTTATAATTGCCACAATTTACTTTTTCCTCAAAATGCAAAAGTTGCATTCACCATAAAAAACTTCACTACAAACTGACCAAGATGAGATGTCAGATATACAACTGTTACTGTAATCAGAGACATATAATACAATACATCTTATCGCTTATCCCGCTTGACCCGAGAATCTGTCCCGCTCGAACTTTTGACGTCATACAACAATCACTTTTCCATTGTGGCGTCAGACATTTGGTATTATGACGTCAAAATTTTACGGGAACCTGTGTGATGTCCAGTAATGGCGGACAAATAGCGATAAGGTGTATTGTATTATATGGTCTCTGCTATAATATATAGTCACATGATAAGTAATAATATAATAATATAAATAAATAAATACTTTATTTACCAGTTAAAATTAGTTAGTACAATACTAATCTCCCCTAATGCCCTCTGAACAACTCAAAATAATATTTATCAAAATCATAGAGTAAATTATGGGGGACTATAGCTGTATAGATCTCATCAGAGGGATATTTGAAATAATTTATATTTATCTTTTCATTTGGTAATTTTATATTATACGTAATATTAATTGCTATTTCCCTAGATGATTAGATTGTGTTTCAGTTTGTATATAGAGAATTATATTAATTAAGTAGACTCATAATTTGCGTTGTGACTTGTGTACTCAACAGTTCTCCAAGTTATAGACATAGTGTGGAATAATTCTACAACAGAACGGAACATAAGTCATAATTCTGAAATTCAGTTGTTATGAATTTTACCTCTGATACTGTTTATATAGTATCCTTGATATCCGTTCGATTATCGTGTTTTGTAAGACAAAATCTTATAAACGGACGCAATCTGAAAAATAGAAAAATAAACAAACAAAATATTTTTGTTCAAGGGAGATAACTACACTGTTTCCGGTATAGAATCGATCTAAATACCAATAACAAAATAAACGTTAAAAAAGATAGGCGAAATCTACCAAAGGAATATTGAATCTGATTGTGATAACTCGAAAACTAACTGACCATGTCATGGAAAAAATAAATAAAAACGATCAAATGACCAACAGTATAAAAAAGTTGGATCATCACTGATGAACGGTACCAATTTTACTGCACCAAATACTAAATCTATTTCCTAAGATACTTTGCCAAAATGTAGATTTTACCTGAGATTACTATAAGTTATAACAGTTAGATTTTACCATGCCTTTTAAAAAAAATATTGTAAAAAGTATGTATCACCGTGCTATTTTCGAGAAACAAGTTGTGTAGCCTGCAAAAAAGGAAAAAGGGTGTCACCAAACTTCTTTTCTTGTCGCTACAAGTAAATTTACATTCCTTTGTATAATTCTTATTATAAGAGTAATCTCCCCTTACATGGCTTAGTTGAAAAATTGAACCAAACAAAAACAAATTTGTAAAAACAGTTTTACTAAAAATACAATAGATCGCTTATTTTTCTTTATCAAAATAAAACAGTATAACGCCATATTTGCCATTATGTCTCAAACTCTGTAAATTAATGCAAAGAACTAGACTTATCATCTATAGTGTGTACTGCTATTTTACAAACCAAGACGGAGAAATACAGTTTCTCCACCTAATTTGTAAAAACCTTTTACATTTTTTTCGAAGAATTTTCACCCAGTAATTCCTGCTTGTCAGTTGTTTTCCTCGTACATTGTGTTCCCAGATTTCCCCTATTTCCTCTTATTATTAATAATTTAACTTTTGTTCAGTTTTCTTTGTAAAATAATCACTGTAAACATACTGCTCATCATTAGGTTTGCTATCGAAAATAATTATACTTTTTGTATCTTGAATTGTGTTCCCTTTCAAAATTCGTTATTTGAAATTAATATTACGGTTTACATATGATGTAGGGGCTTGTAGAGACATTATCAGTATTAAGTGGCAGATCTAGTAGTTGAAGACCCAGGACATGCTGCACATTTAATTAGTCATCCGTTACTGGCCGTCAGTGTAGTCTCAATGAGTCATTGCTATATGCTCCACGACTCATTTGCTAATATTGCATATTTATATTTTAAGATATGATAGTTTTACGTGAGATATTCACATAACGTTGAATGCATATGTATACTTTTCTAAAAAAAAAAAAAAAAAACAAAAAAAAACTATGATCTTTCTTGAAATTTCAAAGGAGTTTTGGTTCACAGTAGAACACACCGAATTTTATTAATCATCCTTCAACGGAAGCACACAGAACCAAATGTTTAAATGACGAATTGCATTGGGAGTCAGCTCTAGTTATCATAAGGCCAAAGATTTAGCCAAACTGTGTAGCTAATCGTAAACGACATTTCTATACATGGAGAAGTTTAAAACAAATCAGAGGATAAATGATAACAGGGGCGTAGGAACCGGGTGGGCAAGGGGACACTTGCACCCGGCCTCCTCCCACTTTAGACAAAAATATTGAAAATAAAAAAAATGAAAATGAAACGGGAACACTGACTAACTTCTTGACCATTAAAGGTTGTTTTTTTTTTTTTTTTCTGCCCACACATTTTAGTCTACTCCTACTAGTGTACTGGCTTTATACCGGGATATCTCACATTCAGCTTAAGCAATACACCTTCGTACAGTATCACACGAAAGTGCATTGTAATCCCTCTCAATATGAAAACAATTGTCATCTACTTACCAGGCAGGAACATTTACCAGAGAGGTATGATTTATAGAGGTCATTTGAAATTTCGAACGATCGTAAGCTGCTTTGCAAAATTTTTGCCGCATCATAAAGGGTTTGATCTTCTTGGGGGTATGGTATCATTTACCGTTGAAACTCTTTTCTATCTCTGAAATTTTAAATTCCGCTTTTAAACAGCTTGCAGTGCAAAAAACCTAGCGAACAGTAATTCAGCTACTGAAAACTATATTTTATTTAGATCTTCCTTGTCCTCTTTGAGTCTGAACAACAATGGAATCACTGTATTGATTTTCTAGTTTGTGCTGCAGTTTAGCGCAGTAATACTTACCATACATTTCTTCTGGCAGAAAGGAACAATATGCATGTAGCAATTACGACAACCTAAATGCTTCCTTTTTCCCCAAACAGATCATCGTGTAGACTTTCTGTTAGTTTTTGAAAAGCAACAATATGTTTCGAATCATTTGCGGCATTAAAAGCAAGTTGTTTTTCCAGTTCAGCAAGTAGTTGGCAATTATGCATGCTGATCGATACAGCGCATTGACCTTAAAGTTATCTATAGAGAGTAAGCTTACCATTGGATATAGTCAAACTAGTGCTTTCCGGCATTTAAAATATTATCGGCACGCTCAGTCGAATCGATGCGCCTAAATTGTTTATCTGGTTTGTACGACCTTTGTCTGCAGAATAAACATTTGGACCAGTCTAATGGTGATGCCAAGGGGCGTTTTTTTTCACTTTGCATTTTTCAATTTTTATTTACCTTAATTTAGTTGGTCAATTACTCGAGCTTAATTAAAGGTTCAGAGCTCGAAAAATATGCATGCGCCTGTCTTAAATATGAAAATGCATCAGTGTTGACTAATGTACAACCGGCTTCTTGTTATATTATTTATTTGCAAATTTAATTTGGTGTTAATGACGGATCTTTGATAGTTTCGCTTTAATTTATTCACAACTTTTTTTTTACACAAGACATGATTTAGAGATTTAACACCGTGTGCAAGGGCGGATCCTGGATTTTAGAAAGAGGGGCGTCATTGGCCCAAAAATTGTATACAAATCGCCATCTACACCACCTGAATCCGCCACTGGTGTGGACACTTGTTAAAGACTGTATTTTGACCTGATAATGGCTTTTTTAAAAATTAATCCGAAAATATTTAAATGAAAACTTCATATTGGCATTTATGACTTTATGGGACCTTCATTACCAAATTTTCGCATGGTAAATGTATGACCTAATGACACGTTTACTTTTACAATCATATATAGTTTAAACGGAAATACACATGTTTATGAAAAAGACAAATAAAGATACATGACAAGTTAACATCTTGAGCGATATTCTTTGAATCGAAATGTACATACTTATGTAATATTAAGTCAATGAAATATATCAACTTTTCTGTGTGAGACTTAGAAACAAGGGAAGGGCGAGGTATTATGCCGAATATACAGAAACGGTGTTATTCTTCTGACATTGATCTTTGTCCAAATTATCTAAATAACAATATATTTAATTAAGTTGTTTGTAATATTTGAACATAATCTATGAACAAAATGTTTTTGTATGTTATTGTCAGTGTTCAATCTCTAGAAAAGGGGCTGGTTTTTTTTTAAAGTTTAGGTGATTAATAACAAAATAATTTAAACAAAGAGTTGCTTTAGATCTTTGTGTCCTTAAATTCGATCCCTATATCTCAATCTGACGCTTACACCTTTATATTCGATTTACCCCGATTAGAAAATGTGAATTTCACAATTTTAATATTTACACGATTTGACAATATGTATACACAGTTTGAAAGGCATTTTGTAGATTAATTATTCTTACCTTTTGGACCCTAGTGAAGCATGAAAATGCCCCCTTTTACAAAGCACCTGAGACTACCCAAGGTTTTGAGTTTGCTTCATGTTGCCCTTTTTTTTGAATTATCTGTTTCAATTGAAACTCCGGGGAAGGTCAAATGTCATTAATAAACAATCATGTATTTTTATAAGACGAAAAATGGCTATGCTGCATTTACTGTGAAAAAGTTTTCGTCATTAGCACTTTCTCCCATTTTACCGGTAAAAGTAGAGACTTGTTAAAAATGAAATTTTTATGTTTCTTTACATACAGATGAAATATTTCATAACTCAATGCAAAGCCTTTAAGATTTTATCAGTTTTAATGTTTGGATTTTGGGCCTTTTGACAAGATGAAACAAAAGTTCAATACGCATTAAAATGGGCCACTTTCACTTTTTTGTTTGAACTTTCTTTTTACCAACTATGCAATGAAAATAAATTTCACGTTTTTAATATTTTGTTTAAAAGCATATTTACTTCTGATTTTCCAGATACGCCTTGTACTTAAATGTGTGAATAGTATCTGTTTACACAGTTAAATGGTTGATGGACAGCAGTGGTTGTCTTAAATTAAAGTACATTTCAAGACACACAAAAATTCAAATTTAACCATAAAACAACCATTGTATAATTTACTGAAAAAATAAAGACTTTTAACCCTAGCCCTTCTCTAGTATGTATCACATACATGTATTCGTGGTTATAACATCGACAAGCTTTCAAAGTAACTGTTATTATAAAAACTTTTAAAGACCGATGACTGACATCAATTCTTTATATATGCCCATAATGCTGAAGGTGTTTCAAAGTTTGCCAAAATATATTACATTATAACAAAAGCTAGATTATAAACGAACCATTGCATTTAATATCTCGCGTGGAAAGAGGTTATGCTATCTTTTTAACTGACAACGTGAACTAGTTATATTTATATTAAATATCATTTAATACAAATGATTAAATTGAAGAAAAACAATTGATCCTAATTAACCTAACTTTAATTTAATGCGATTGGATATGAGTTGGATCACCGTTGTTGAATGGAGTCACTCGACCAACTGTGCTCGCCACACGCGACCGTGCCTTCCCTTGGTCCGATCATCTTGTATTCATTTCAGCAATTTAAATAAAACAAAAAAGATATTTTATTATTGTACTCCCTAAGATAGACATTTTGCCTTTCTCAATTACAAACCTTTTTATTCGAAACATGCATTTAGTTTGACAAGTGCAAAACGTCAACATGGAAACAGTCGTCTGCGCGAAAAGCATTGATTTGGATAAGCAGATACTGTGTTGAAACGGATAGCTATTGACGTTTAGCACATTGAGGGAAACTTATTTATGTATTACATAAAGAGATCAAAAGTTGGAATGCAGATTTTATGTTTTGGATTAATTGGTAATCGGATTTATAAAGGTATAGAAAGAATAACCAGTGATTGATTTGAGATCAATAATAAAACAGTTTCAAGGCATATTACTTGTAATGCTAAGGGAAATACCGAATGATCTGGATTTTTATCAGTAATATTCCTCGTCGGGATATTGGATGTCTCATAAGTGGTAAGCCTTTTCGTCATATTTTATACTGAATAAATGGAGGATCAATAAATGTGTTCGATGATAACCCTTGCGAGAGAAAAATGTTCACCCAATTGGAAATCTCTTTGGGCATAACATTGATGCCATAAGCAATCAAAATGAAAAACGTTGTGCTTATCTATGTAGAATAATAGAATACTGCCAGTATAATTTGCTTATCTGCCATGGCATTGAATGACGCAGAAATTAACGATACAAGTCCGCCCTCTCCTGAGATGGATATATCGAGACATCTAGATACACGTTCACAATTTAGTCGTGATCTGTTTAACCCAGACCAAAGCACTTATACGCGTGTAAATAATTCATCCAATAGAGATAGTGGTGATAATGACACAGAAGAGGAATTCCATTTAAGATATAAAGGTACTCGAGATATTGATAAAATAGAGCGACTTTATAGACGTCCCAAATCAGCTGAACCAATTAGTTATAAAGATAAAATGTATAGAAAAATTAAAAATCTAAAGCACAGTAATATGCACAATGACAGAATAGAACAACAATTTTACAAACGGCCTTCATCAGCGAAACATGTTCGAAATGCTGATTGTTCAAATATTATAACTGCCGACATTAGGTCTTCGAACATCGATGAATTTGAGAATTTAAAACATGCCAATGAAACATCGCTTTCATATACAGATACCTCTAAACATATTTTTATTCGACCTATGGTTACTACAGAAAATTTCGAAACTAACGATGACAGCTTAATAGATTGTAAAAATTATCCAGAAAATTTCGAAGAAAATTCTTCACAGCAATTACAATCTGACAACCAATATGACGGTTCACATTGTTCAAATATTAGTACCGAAATTAAGTCATTGAAAACTGATGAATTTAATAATTCAAAATATGCTCATGAAAAATGGCTTTCGAACACAGATACCTCTAAACAACTTTTTGTTCGGTCTGAAGTTAAAACAGAAAATGTAGAGACAACCGATGACAGCTTGATAAATACTAAAAATGATACAGAAATACTCGAAGAAAATGATCTACAAAAATCATTATCTGACAACCGATATGACAGTACATATTGTTCAAATATTAATACCGAAATTAGGTCCCCGAATACTGATGACTTTGAGAATATCAAACATGATAATGAGACATCGTTTTCGAACACAGATACCACTCAACAAATTTATGTTCGGTCTGTGGTTACAGCAAAACATTTAGAGAATATCAATGACAGCTTAATCAATACTAAAAGTGATCCAGAAAAACTCGAAGAATACGATCTACAAAAATCACTATCTGACAACCAATATGACAGTACACATTGTTCAAATATAAACATTACCGATATTAAGTCCACGAACACGGATGACTTTGAGAATTTAAAACAAGCTAATGAAACATCGTTTTCGAACACAGATAATCCTCAACAAATTTATGTTCGGTCAGTGGATACAGCAAAAAAGTTAGATACTGAGGATGGCCATTTAGTAAGTAGTGAAAATCTTCCAGAAAAAATCGTAGAAAATTCTCCACAGCAATTACCATCTCACATCCAATATGACAGTACACATTGTTCAAATATAAAGAAAACCGACAGTTGGTCCTTGGAAACGGATTCCTTTGAGAATTTAAATCATGAAGCCTCGATTTTGACCGCAGATATCTCTAAAACAATTTATGTTCAATCTGTGAATACTTCACAAAATTTAGAGACTTGCGATTGCAGCTTAGTAAATAGTAAAAGTAACACAGAGATAATCGAAGAAAATTCTACGCAGCATTTACAATCTGACAACCAAAATGACAGTACACAGCCTGACCAGACTGAACACCAAACATCTCAAAATCAAGTAAAACCATCCACATACTGTAATGATCATTTATGTGATGGAAACATGGATGAAAATGATCTTCAAAGTACTGATAACAATATAAATCTGGAATATCATAATATGTCACAATCTTCATCACAACAGGATTTACGATATGTTCCTTTCGATTCCGAACAAGATGAAAAGAACTTTAGAGAACGAGTTTATGTTCACAATGTTGTTTCCCATGAACAAACACACACAAGTCCCCGAGGATTAACTAGTAATGAAAAACCGAAAGACGAAAAAGAGGAGCCAAGCATAAAAGGCAAATTTCATACCAAATCTACTGGGACATTTTGGCAACTTTCTGACAAGACTTCGTATAGCAGCAATTTGGACAGTCTGGATAGACAACATCAAGACAGTGAATCTGAAAATCAAATCGAAACACTCGACAGTGAATTAAATGAACAGACCATGAATGCCACAAAACCTAAACAAGAACGAAAAGGTAGAAGTCGACTTCGGAATATTATTATTAGAAAACGGAACTGCGTTAGTCCATCACCCGCAAAACATGATGAACTCTCGAGGCGAAGTCGAAGCTGTCCTGCATTTTACAAAACGTTTAATGCTAATAATTCTGTTTGTTCTAGTTCTGTCTGTTGTATCAATAGTGTTCACCCTATAGAAGAAAGTAAACACTCACCACACTTTGATAGTCTTAATGAGTTGAACAAACAAAATTCCACTCTTCTGAATTATCCTGATTGTTTGACCTCAGTTTGTTGCAAAGCCAGCATCCACCCGGTACAAGAGAATAGAAGAAGTTTACGAAAATTTGATAGTCTTGATAAACTGGATAGTCAATCAAGTTTCTGTGATGATTCTAATTGTAAAAGTTTAATTTGCTGCAAGAACAGTGTTGGTCCAATTAGAGAGATCGGAAGTATACCGCTATCTGACACTCATAATCATTTGGAATCAGATTCCAGTTGTTGGGATAACTCTATCTGTACAAGTTCAGTTTGCTGCAAAAACAGTGTTGTGCCAATTGTCATGGAAGCAGAGGTCAACGAAGTTGAAAATAAATCCGATGAGTGTTCATCTCTTGATGACAATACCAAATCAATTTCTACTTTACCAACTTCAGAAACTGAGGAAGCCAACGGAAATAATCTACCCAATGTTCCTGATACCACAAACTTTGGGCAAACAGACAATGATCAAACGTGTTCCGGAAATTTTGCAATGACAGACAAGCAGGACATCAACAATTCACACAGTTCAAAAGAAAAGTGTAAAGAAAAATCTACTTGTACAATAACTGATAGTACTGAAAAAGTAGACAAATCCGACAATAATAGAATTGATAATTACGACTATAAAAGAACAGAACTAAAAGCAAATGCTGAAATAGCTCATTATCCTAATGATTATACAATGGAATCGTCTCAAAAACAAGAAAACTTTGTCGGCAAAAATCTGTGCAAACATAAAGCTGTTGGCTCAGATAAATCCGAAACAAATGATTCCAGCTTCCTCTGTTCCCCAGGCACACAGAATACCGAAAATGACCATGGAATTATCCAGTTAGCTAACGAACCCCAACAAATCTTATTCAGTTCTGCATCTAGTGATAATAGTATACGAGACAGAAACAGTAATTCTCAAAATTTGAACTGTCGTAATTCCATTTTATCACAAGAGCAAAATATTTCTTTGGATGCATTAAATTTTACCAACCAAAATAAGATTGCAAAGGATAAAGAAACAAGGTCAAGAATAAAAATTGAAGCTAGCAAATCTTTAAACCTACAGACGACTGTGGAAAATCCTGATATTGTGGACAGACATTATAAACGCTCGTCAAATACAATCGACTTTGAAACTATATCTGAAGTGGGACGTAGCGAAGATATAGATTCAAAAGAAGTTATAAAACTGGGGAAAAAATGTCGGAGTATTTCATCAGCCAATCAAGAGCGACGTCGACTGGGTACCCCTTTGACGCTTATTCTATATGTAAAGAAAAAGTGCCAGTCCAAGATAAGAAAGATTATGTGAGTTAACACCTTTTTCTTTAGTTTTATTTCAAAATGGCACTATTTCAATTATCTCAAAAGTACTTTTAAGAATAATATTTAAAAATATGAAAAAATGATAACATATTCCCAAGACCGTTAAATTTTAGTAAGAAGTACAATGCACATTTTTTATGTTCTAGAAAGACCAGGTTTTATATACTGCTTACACGAATGAAGCTACGTGCCACATATGAGGGCAGGCGGGAGGAGGTGTCATCCCGGATTCCCGAAAAAAAATTAAAGCATCTTTTCCCAGATCCCGAAATATTAATCCTTAATTCCTGAGAAGGGTAAATCCCGACTCGATGATTCACGAATAAATAAAGGCCATTCCGACGTCCCGAAAGAGGTCCTTCCGCCCATCACATATCATAGGTGTAAAAATTGTAAGTGTGCACATATGAATTCAGTTTGAAAATACGGTTAACCAAACATGATAATTAAAGTGTGTGACTAATGGATTTTCTTCGTGAAAGACCAAAATTTTCAAACAATGGGAACTAAACCGAATTGCCACAAAACAAGATAATAAACCATGATCAATGTGCATCGTGGATACTCTATGTATGTATTATGTACCATGACTTTCTATCAGAATATTTTAAAATGTGATAAAACAAATATCATTGCAAACCGAATGAATTAATACATCGTACTATATACGAGTGACTTTGACACTGTCTTTAATTATTGTTTATCAAATTTTTCTGTCATATTTGATAAGTTGGGTAATATTTCATACCTTCCTGTATATCAAAAGTCACGTTAAAAGTTACTTTATAATATATACCTGTCAAAGTCAACATTTGTGTAACAGAACCAACTCGTTCTTCATAAACCTAGTTTAATTCTTACCAATAATCAATAAACAATAAACGTTTTAAGGAATTATATGAGATTTAATGAAATTTTCGTGTTCAATTAAATCGATTGAAGATTTTATCTAATATGGTTTATTGATACCTCAAGAAATTTATCTGAAATATATAGATGTAATATTTTTATTATGAAGGAAAGTTGCCAAATACTAGAATTAGAACCTAGGGTATGTTCAAGGTAGGTGACATGATTTTCCTTCTTTCTCTTTTGGCAACTTTTTTCCTCATATTTCAGCTATGCCTAAATATGTACTGTAGTGTCAATGTACTTTTTTTATAAGATTATATGAGGAGGTATAGTTGGTGACACTTAGAGCACAATGTGACATAGCGAAAAATTACGATGCATGTTTTTTTTTTGAATTTCTAAAATTTCATTTTTAGATGAAAAACGCGTCTAGAGCTCAAAGACTTGAAATTGTAAAGGTTAATTTACGCACTTAAGGCTTAATCTTGAGTATTACAGACAAACTATTATATTTCAATAGGGAATATATGTATTGATGTAAATTTAGGATACGCAAAAGACACATTCATCAAGTTAGAGACAATTAATACTTAGTTCGCAGATCAATCGCGTAGATCTATGGTGTCGATTTTCGTTCATACTATGATTTTCATTACATTCGGATTATGCGTTCTTTAATGTACTTCTTCTCACAAAGTTCGATTAATCAAATTTAACTGATTAATTTAAATAAAATAGGACGTGAGGTATAAAAGGCAATCGGCAATCCTCGGGTGAATCCGCTACTCTCCTTCTATGATGAAGGTACGGTGTGGAAAAATTCAAACGATCTGCCATCAACGAAAAAATTATTTTATATATATATATATATATATATATATATATATATATATATATATATATATATATATATATATATATATATGTAGAACACTTCTTTTACCAAATCAAATTTCGAACAGTATTGTTAGATCTTGTAACTCAAAGGTATGAGTATATCAAATCAATATAGGTTTGAAAGGTCAATAAAACGAACTAACAATTTTCTATTCGTTTTATTCAAATTTAAATTAAAGAATCCGATGTATGATATTTGAAGTAATATAATCTGACTTGTATTTTGTACAAAAAAATGTATGGTCTGAATAAAATTTCATCTTTTTTCTTTCAAAATTAAATAGTAGGTTCCATATTCATGGTGTAACATCTAGAATCTTACCTATTCATTTTTTTACAATCTGCTTTTAATCGTTTTGGATGGGTTGAGTGTAAATTAGTATCAAATTCGAAACACAATTTTATTATGTGAAGTATAAAGTGTGCGACCTCTCTACATGTATTGCGATTTAAATAAAAATGGATTGATTGTTTTGCCATTTTAACGACGTCTTAGTGCAGATAAAGACATTCTTATAATAATAAAAAAAAAGACCTAATTGAGCATACTTGAAGATAAAAAATAATCATGACTGGCTAAATCAGTTTTCGAATATAAAGAGTGTATTGTTAAGTAGATAAGCAGTACATACTTGACTCACTATAGGAAAGATATAATATCTTTTTTATTTCACAGTATCAATAATTTCGAACGGAACAAAAATTTCAATGAATAAAAAGTAGCAAGTATCCGATTTTAAATCTTTGGTGCAAAACAATCGTTAACTTCGACAAAGAAATTAAAGGAACCAAAATATTAGTTTGGCAATGACGAATATTATTAAATCTTTGATTGAGTAGTATCGGAAATCCTAAAATCAACATTTTAAAGCTATTGACACCGAAAATGCTACAAAAGGAAAACCTTGGCGAGACAATAATTGTAGCAATTGAAATTCTATTTCTCAGAGTCAATTTACATAATTTTAAAACTTCAATATATATGTCATTATAAATATTTTAAAATCCAAGTGACTCTTATCTTTACTGAAATAACAATATTGTTTCAAATTCTAATTATTGGTCGACTGAACATGGTACAAGGTGTGCAAAACTCAACCCAAAGTTTTGTCAATAAAAGGTTGAAGGTTGAAACTAAATAATTAACATGACTCCCAACTGTCAAAAATAGAGAGATTATAAAGATTTTTGACACTTAAGGTGAAAGGAGTATAATATTCTGTTGGGTAAGTTTTTGATATTTGAATTCTGGGAGAACACCTGGGACCAATAATTTATTGCACTAGTCCCAGGCGAAAATATAGTGTGTTATAAAATATGAATTAATAAATTTATATTCTATAACTCTTTACCTTAATTAATTTGCATTTTACACACCTGTCTTATGCGGTAAGATTGTAAATTAAACAGAAATATATTACATGAAATTCATTTTAGCTTTAATTTTAAAAAGGTACATGTTCATCTACAATATCATTTTTGGACAATATTTCATTGCAAATGTCCATTTATCCGTTGCTTTATAGAACTAGAAGTGAAAAGAGCCTGTTATTCTCTGACTTTTACATTTAATCCATTGGATGTTGGATGTTGGATGTTTACTGATTGATATTTTAGTCTTAGATACATGCTTTTTTATTAGTTATTATTGGCTTTGAACTAGCAGTCGGTAATTGCGAGTAATCTCGGATCTGCACTTCGTGTCTTTTTTGTTGTGACGAATGTATAAACTCCCTGCTACGTCCGGTCTGGTTTTTTTGTTAGATGTTTTTCTGCTTTGGATGGATCTGATAAGTTAATTCCTTTTCAACTGATTTTTGTAGTTTGATTTTAAGAAGTGTAAAAAACATAAAAGACAACATTGTCACGGTGTGCCCTTATCTTGTACAGGTAAGTTTTTTTTTTGCTTTAAAGAGAGAGAGAGCTGTCCTATAATTGTTGACTTCTACCGTCATTTGGTCTCTGGTAGAGTGTTGTCTCATTGGCAATAACACCACATTTTCTTATTTTTATATTAAGCGTGGTTAACAGACGACAATGCTAGCAAGTTTAAAATAGAAATTAGAGATAAGATTTATTTCGAGGAGTAAATGTTATCCTTTAATATATCTAATATGATATTGGATGGGAAGAGGTATGCCGTGAATATACATGAGAATAATCTCACGGAAAACCAAAAAGAACATATATTAGAATAACAGTGTTTCTGTTGCTGTTCTTTATCTTGACGTTTACTGGAAGCATAATGACTTTATCTTGACGTTTACTGGAAGTATAATGTCCAAAACGATAAACTTTGCAGCGAGACCAAAACTCTTTGATATTCATCCATAAACACGTGAATGTAAATCAATGTAAGAGATATATTTCTTTCGATGCAATTCAACAAATGTTATCATTCGTTGCCCGAGACGATTTCTTATTATTACAACTAGAGAAAAAAAAAATAGACGATCACAAGAGCCGCATAATAAAAAAAAATTGAAGAAGCATTACAAAGAAAGCATACTGTTCATATATATATAAAACGGATTTACTGCCAAAATAAATCAAAGTGTGTAAGATTTTTTCAGCGTGAATGTCAAAAGTAACTTTGATTGTAATTAAATAAAATTACTTTAAATTTGATTTGTTATATTTACATTATAAATAGCGGCCTTTTACCCAGTGCCCTAAGAAACTTGACACATTTTGGTTTGTAATTTAAAGACAACAAAGGTATTGGTTTTACCTACATGAAATTGATCTTGTTCCTAACGGTAGAATATCATTATGCATTTGTTTATATCACAAAAAAACAATTATTAATACAAACTGCTACCTATTATTAGGGACTAATTGACTTTCAATTATTGTTATGCGCTGACTTTTTTGTATCAAATAAAGGAATCGTGAGTAGATTGGATCATAGGTTGAAATAACACAAAGAATTTAAAACTTTGTCATGAAATCGGGAACTAAATTTGTAAAGGTAAGAAAAGTATAATGTCTTATAATCTCGATGATTCTGTTTGTTACGGTAAGCAGAGTTTCATTTTTATATAAAATAAATAACATTGAAATAAGATTTGTACTTTATGTCTTGTGTGTTTTTGTTAGGTTTTTTAGTCCATTTCATTGATTTTTATAGTTTGTATCGATCTGATATCTGAGTGAAGTCTATTTCATTGATTTTTATAGTTTGTATCGATCTGATATCTGAGTGAAGTCCATTTCATTGATTTTTATAGTTT